GGGGGGAATCCCAGCAGGGAGCCGTGACAGTCACGGCTCTCTGCAGTGACATGATCGAGAAGTGAGCGAGCGACGGTATGCGTTCCCTCACTCCCCGATCTACAGAGCCGACCTGTGACAGTCTCATTCATTCATTGATTTTCACTCGCCACATAGTTCTCCTTTTTAATGACTAAACAGCTGAGAATGTGAGTTCCGGGGGCCGTAGTAAAATATTGATCCTCATTTTCCGGGTGACAATAAAGTGGATTCTTTCCTAATCGGAAATCGATGTTCTTCTCGTGTCTGTACAGTGACCGTCCGGTGAAGTTTGCAGAGCGGTCGCGGCCCGGCGTTCAGATTTCCTGCTCATCCTTTAGCTCAGGTATGTGTGATCGGGGCCCTGGATGTCCGAGGCGGGGGGGGAGGGTTGGTGCTTGTCCTACCTGAATGTTTTGAACTGTGTGGGACAGTTAGCAGGAGGACCAGCGTGCTGGAAATGAGGTGCAATGTGGTTTATAAACATATATACTGTGTGTGTGTATATATATATATAATGTATTTTTATATATATACACAGTATATATTATATTCTCAATCCAATAACCCTCCGTGCTGCACCCCGAGCCCAGCAGCTGCACCTAGATAATATAATAATGTTCCACAGTCTGCTCAGCAATGTTACCAGCATCGTATATTACACGGCCTCCTAATGTGCCCAAATATCAAATAATATCCACAATAAATGAGACAAAACCCCAACAGAATCATTTCCTAAACAAATAATAAGCCCGTGTCCTGGGGGATGCTTAAAGTGACATGAAAAAAACAATACTGTAATGTGCGCCTTATTGTAATCCATGGTTGTTTCCCTTCTCTTTGCTGCTCTTCCTTTTAAATCCTCATGTCTTCTCATGCTGGGGGAGAACTTCTGTTTTGCAGCTGAGTGCCTTGTCTCAGGAATGGATACACGGTGTCTGTGTGAAGGTTCACAACCTGAGCCAGCACTACAGGAAGAGGCCCTGAGCTGCAAAGGGAAGTTCTTCCCAAGCATGAGAAGACATGAGGATGTAAAAGGAAGAGCAGCAAAGAGAAGGGAAACAACCATGGGTTACAGTAAGGTCGCACAGTACAGTATTGTTTTATGTTACACAACATGAGGGTTTCATGTCACTTTTTAAATGTCCACTGCGAAGGATTCCACTCCACATACAATCCTTTACACCAAGAGGTCCATTCATGAAATGCTCCAAGCAGCTTTGTCACCGGATTCACCCATTTGTCTCCAGTTGGATTCAAATTAAAAAAATGTGTGAATCTTGTGTGAAATAATAGACATATATTTTACATTCTGCTCCTATACCACACTTAAAGTGACATTAAACCCTTAGAACATAAAACAATACTGTACTGTGCGCCTTACTGTGATCCATGGTTGTTTCCCTTCTCTTTGCTGCTCTTCCTTTTAAATCCTCATGTCTTCTCATGCTGGGGGAGAACTTCCCTTTGCAGCTGAGCGCCTCTTCCTGTAGTGCTGGCTCAGGTTGTGAACCTTCACACAGACACCGTGTATCCATTCCTGAGACAAGGCAGTCTGCTGCAAAACAGAAGTTCTGCCCCAGCATGAGAAGAGATACGGATTTAAAAGGAAGAGCAGCAAAGAGAAGGGAAACTACCATGGAGTACAGTAAGGCGCACATTACAGTATTGGTTTATGTTAAAAAATCTGAGGGTTCAATGTCACTTTAAGTCATTTCACATTGTGTAGCCAACAGTCTTTGGACCCCGGCGTTCTATCAAAGTTTGTCACCGGGTTGGAATGTGTGACCGGCGACGTGGTCACGCATTTTAACGTAATCCCGCCCAGTTTTTTCGGCGGTGTAATGCGTGACCGCCAATAGGCGAAGCATTCCAACGCTTTTGTCAGCTGTTCCGGCATCGCAGATGGCGCGCGCAGGAGAACCGATCTGCCCCGCAACAGCCGATCGGCCCTGAAATGTCACTTCTATCCCAGACTGTGACTGCGATCTCACATGAAACAAAGTGACATTTCAGGACCGATCGGCTGTTCCGGGGCAGATCGGTTCTCCTGCACGTACCATCTGCGATGCCGGAACAGCGGACAAAGCGTTGGAATGCTTCGAATATTGGCGGTCACGCATTACACCGCCGAAAAACTGGGCGGGATTACGTTAAAATGTGTGACCACGTCGCCGGTCACACATTCCAACCCAGTCACAAACTTTGTGTCCTTACCATCCTCCATAGTAAAAGTAAATCACCGGCACACACTTGAAGGGTTTTTAAAGTATCGATGTGTTGATTGAATACCCAACGTCACATGATGTCATACTGTGGCTCTGATGAAGGATCCCTGTGCGGACCCGAAACGTTAGCACCGTATGACAGTATGTGACGTTGGGTATTCAATCAACACATCAATACTTTAAAAACCCTTCAAGTGTGTGCCGGTGATTTACTTTTATTTACTATGAGAGTTTTGCACGGCGCCGTCCGTGTGGTCACCTGGGCACCACATATACCTCGTGGTTTGGAGACCGTGGCAGTGCGAATGGGATTTGGACTTTACCATCCTCCACTCCTCTGGGAAGACTTTCCACAAGATTTTGGGGGGTGTCTGTGGGAATATTCCCCATGTGTGAGGTCAGGTCCTGATGTTGGAGGAGAAGACCCGGGCTCACAGTCGGCGTTCAGCAGGGATGAGGTCGGGGCTCTGTATCAGGTTGTGAACCTTCACACAGACACCGTGTATCCATTCCTGAGACAAGGCAGTCTGCTGCAAAACAGAAGTTCTGCCCCAGCATGAGAAGAGATACGGATTTAAAAGGAAGAGCAGCAAAGAGAAGGGAAACTACCATGGAGTACAGTAAGGCGCACATTACAGTATTGGTTTATGTTAAAAAATCTGAGGGTTCAATGTCACTTTAAGTCATTTCACATTGTGTAGCCAACAGTCTTTGGACCCCGGCGTTCTATCAAAGTTTGTCACCGGGTTGGAATGTGTGACCGGCGACGTGGTCACGCATTTTAACGTAATCCCGCCCAGTTTTTTCGGCGGTGTAATGCGTGACCGCCAATAGGCGAAGCATTCCAACGCTTTTGTCAGCTGTTCCGGCATCGCAGATGGCGCGCGCAGGAGAACCGATCTGCCCCGCAACAGCCGATCGGCCCTGAAATGTCACTTCTATCCCAGACTGTGACTGCGATCTCACATGAAACAAAGTGACATTTCAGGACCGATCGGCTGTTCCGGGGCAGATCGGTTCTCCTGCACGTACCATCTGCGATGCCGGAACAGCGGACAAAGCGTTGGAATGCTTCGAATATTGGCGGTCACGCATTACACCGCCGAAAAACTGGGCGGGATTACGTTAAAATGTGTGACCACGTCGCCGGTCACACATTCCAACCCAGTCACAAACTTTGTGTCCTTACCATCCTCCATAGTAAAAGTAAATCACCGGCACACACTTGAAGGGTTTTTAAAGTATCGATGTGTTGATTGAATACCCAACGTCACATGATGTCATACTGTGGCTCTGATGAAGGATCCCTGTGCGGACCCGAAACGTTAGCACCGTATGACAGTATGTGACGTTGGGTATTCAATCAACACATCAATACTTTAAAAACCCTTCAAGTGTGTGCCGGTGATTTACTTTTATTTACTATGAGAGTTTTGCACGGCGCCGTCCGTGTGGTCACCTGGGCACCACATATACCTCGTGGTTTGGAGACCGTGGCAGTGCGAATGGGATTTGGACTTTACCATCCTCCACTCCTCTGGGAAGACTTTCCACAAGATTTTGGGGGGTGTCTGTGGGAATATTCCCCATGTGTGAGGTCAGGTCCTGATGTTGGAGGAGAAGACCCGGGCTCACAGTCGGCGTTCAGCAGGGATGAGGTCGGGGCTCTGTGCAGGTCACTCGAGTTCCTCCACCGCACTGGTGACACCATGTCTGTATGGAGCCGGTTTTGTACACGGGGGACAGTCATGGGGGGGACAGAAAAGGGTCTTCACCAAACTGTGACCACAAGGCTGGAGGAGGACAATTGTCTACAATGTCTTTGTATGATGGAGGATTAACAGAGCCCTTCACTGGAGACCCCTGAACCCCGTCACTGAAGACCCCTGACCCCCGTCACTGGAGACCACTGAACTCCGTCACTGGAGACGCCTGAACCCCGTCACTGGAGACCCCTGACCTCCATCACTGGAGACCCCTGACCCCCATCATTGGGAGGGGAGTCCATGTACTTGACCATATGGGTAGGGGAGATGTTTAGGTGTCTACATACTCCTTGGCCAAGTGGTGTTTTGTTGATGATGATCATTACATGTGATACTTAGCCTCACAAAATGTTTAGCTTGGAGTTCAGTTGAGGAACCTCAATAACAAACTGCTCCCCCCCATGTCTGTATGGAGCTGGCTTTGTACACAGGGGACAGTCATGGGGGGGACAGAAAAGGGTCTTCACCAAACTGTGACCACAAGGCTGGAAGAGCCCAATTGTCTACAATGCCCATTTGTGAGGTCAGTTCCTGATGTTGGAGGAGAAGACCCGGGCTCACAGTCGGCGTTCCGTAGGGTGGAGGTCGGGGCTCTGTGCAGGACACTCGAGTTCCTCCACCAGACTGGTCCCCCCCCATGTCTTTATGGGAGCTTTGTACACAGGGGACAGTCATGGGGGGACAGAAAAGGGTCTTCACCAAACTGTGACCACAAGGCTGGAAGAGCCCAATTGTCAAAAATGTCTTTGTATGATGGAGGATCACCAGAACCTTCACTGGAGACACCCAAAGCCCATCACTTGGAGGGTGTCTGCGGGAGTTTGTGTCCATGTGTGAGGTCAGGTACTGATTTTGGATGAGGAGACCCGGATCACAATTGCAATGAATTCCAGGGATGTTTAGTAGGAGTGAGGTCACTCACTCTGTGCCGGACACTCGGGCTCCTCCACACCAAACTCGTCAAACCATATTGGACGAGAGGCTCATAGTTTGGTTCTAATTCACCCCAAAGGTGTTCAGTAGGGTTGAGGTCAGGTACTGATGTTGGAGGAGAAGACCCGGGCTCACAGTCGGTGATCAGTAGGGTTGAGGTCGGGGCTCTGTGCAGGACACTCGGGTTCCTCCACCACAATGGTCTGTATGGAGCCGGCTCTGTA